CACTGTGCTATTGCTCCAGCCCGCAGTTTCTAGTAAAATTTATAAAGTCATATTCTCTAATAGTAGCATAAATCACTTTTGAAAATACAAAATTGAGTGGTAGAAGGAAGACAGGGGTTCAGGCACTTGCCTTGTAAACAGCTGGCTTTGGCCTGATCCCAGCATCTCATGGTGCCCGGAACACTGCCAGGCGTGATCCCTGAGCACAGAGCCAGGAGTAGCCTCCTGCACTGCCTTGGGGTCCCAACACCCTCCCCCAAATGAAACCCACCAAAATGACATATTTTTCTCTTTTCAGCATATGATGCATATCTTTGCTTCCCTTTAGGTGTTCCTCACTTAATTTGCTCTTTTCAGTCACTTTCTCTGTGTGAACACTTTCCCAATTAATTGTTTTCTACCTCAGTGTTTTGGATGCACAGCCTGGAAAGAACAGGCTATGAAAGGGTTTCTGAGAATGGTGAGTGCTTAGCACAGAGGCGAGCATTCACTAGGTACCCGGATTTACTGAATGCCTGCTAAGTGCCACTGATATAATCCCAACCAAGAGCAGAAACATCCCTGAACAAATAACCATAAATACATAATGTCAGGGGTGATGTGCTGGGTGAAAAAAAAAAAGCAGGTAGAGTGGCGAGAACGAAGAGAAGCCATCTTTCTATGGGAATGGAAGAAGCTACTGATTCACACAGGTCTACAATGCCTGCGCAGACGAGAGCTCCAGGCTGAGACACTCCAGTTCCAAGGACGATGAGAAAAGGGTTTGTGAAAGGCTGAGTGACTGTAGCAGAAACAATCAGGCTGAGGAGGACAACAGGAAGAGGTGAAGAGAGACAAAGCTACATTGACAGAGGACCTGCATGGCCAGGTCAGCTTTGGCCTTCTGTCTGGGAGAGATGGCACGTCACTACAGAATTCCACGAGCAGAGCAAACAGTCTTCTACAGCAGACCCACCACTGACAATGGTGGCTGCGACAGCCAACTGGGGGTGACACAAGATGAATCTCTCAAAAGTGCCTCACCCTGTAGCTGCCCCCAAGATAGCGCTTTTCCTGGCATCTCATGAGCACCCTCGAAGGGTGGCCCATTTTTCAGATGTCATTCTTTAGTGGAACAGACACCTCCGGGAAATCCAGGAATGATTAAAGCTCTAAGATATGTTGGGAACCATGCATGGCAAGCACATTATTTTATAGATATGGGATTAGCTATCCACAGTGAATCAAGAGCTTACTAAATATCTCTAAAGCTAGGTAGAGAACTATCCAGGCCTCAAACTTCCCCAAAGAGGACAAGACAAATCAGGGTTCCTACTGACTTCCCAAAATAGCTCAGAGTGTCCTTTCTTATGTTATTTCCCTGGACCTTAAAAATAGCAGCAACGTTCCTTTGAAACATGTTCTCTCATTAGGTTAATATTTATGAGAACCATTTCTAAAATGAGCATTTCTGAAACGTCTAAAATAACTCTTTGCCTTAGGAAGTCTATATAAATGACTATTGCCACAATCTATTGACTGGCCGTTCTGCTGAGAGAAATACCACCGACTTTCTGTAATTACTTTACTATGCCAATCTCTTACCAAAATAATGCCTGTAGCTTAAAAAGAATTTGTCCAATTCAAGAACAGGTATAATCTACCACAGCAATATTCATGGAAAACAACCACGTCATATACTGTCTGTTTTCCAAAAGAGACACAGCATTGAGCTGTTCTGGGGACCAATATGGGTCAAGAGCCATGAGGGTCACTTTATTCTTCAAGTAAATTGAAAACTTCATATGAGATATTTCTTACTCCTGAATTTTCCTGAGTTCCACAAGGCAGGACTGCCAAAGGCTATAGCTTTACATTTTTCCCCCTTTAACCTGTTGGGAAAAGTTGGAAGACATTTTAAGGCCACTAGGAGCTAAAATATATCCCTCGTCTGGTAAGAATATTTTACAGAAGTGAAGGGTGGTCAGTCAGATTGTTCCGAAAGCAGCCACACAGCTTCTGACCAAATACAGTGGGGAAAGAGCCTTTCCCCAGTCATCTTGTTCTTTTGATGCATATTAGAGGGAGGACAATCCAACTGAGGGCCAATTCTCCCCTAAGAATCCTTTAGTTTTAATTATGGCCACAGTATATTAAACGACTACAACGCCCACGGCAGCTCTCCTTTCAGCAGCACGAGAAAGAAAACCCTTTCATCACTACGAAAACAAGAAGGATTCTCTGGCAGTTCCAAAGCATGGCTGAAAATTCAATTTAACTGACTATCCAGCAACTGAGAGTCTTATACGTGAACATCTCTCTGCTGCTAATTTTGTGCTAGTTTATCTTTCATAAAAAAAAATTCAGGTTAAACTCTGCTGAACAGTACAAAGCTCTTGGTATTTTGAGGCGTTTTGGAACAATTACTTTGACAGGAGTCCTTGACAGTTAAATGACTCCGTTAAATGAATGTTATAGAAGACACATAATGATTTTTAGTGAAATATTGAATTTAACCACAAATGAGGAAAAGCCCATCATGAGCATCATGGATATATTTGAATAATAACGTCTTGCTTATGAACCTCAGCGGCGTCTATCATTTCTAATACCCATGCAATCAACTTGAGCTGGTACAAGCATTCCGTCTTAGTGTTCTTTTTTTTCACTTGGGAGCTTCCCTTTTGCCGTTAGCTTGGCACCTCAGAAACCAGTACAACCTCTTAGAAACTGGCTGTCATCTTCTGCATGGGCACAAGATTTTTAGAGTTAGGCAATTGATGAGTAGCTGTTCCACGAGCGAGGGGCACCTCTGTCCTTTCTATTTGCTCAACGAGACTCTTTATTAACTTAAAACAGTAAACAACTCACATGAGTTAAGGGCCAGAGCACGCTGCTCGGGAATGTGTGAGTTCACAGACTGCCTGTTTCCTCCGTCTGTGGGATGCAATATTCCTTTTCTTATTTTATGGATCGACGGTGAGATAGTATCAGGGTTGTACATGTTTTCTCATGACTAATGATGAAACTATGTACTGAAATAATAAAACAAGTAGTGTTCAATTTCCTTTGAAAATTCCATTCTAATGTAAGGCAGGGTGTTCTTGGGACAGTGAGTGAAATCGGCTCATTACAAAATTCTCTTTTCAGGAGAAAAAGCCGAGAGAGCAGATTTCACAATGCAGGGAGATTTGGAGAGGGTGAGATGCTCAGACAGAAGGAGTGAGTCATGCAGACGTGCAAGGCAGGGTAGAAGGCTGCTGGTTCCCCAGGACCCTGATGACCTCCCCACAGCCCTGCAGGTGAGGGGCAGCCACTGTGTGCCCTTCCACTCGTGAACATCCTTCCCCTGAACCGCCCCTGCTCTGCGAGCACCGCTCATTCCCGCCTTCAGGAAAGAAAGTCTTTCCCATTGCATCCCCAACATCTCTCAGCCTGCTCAACTGCTCCAGGAAGGTACATTTGAGAAAATAGTTTTTGTTGCTTGCTTGCTTGGTTGGTGACTACACCCGACAGTGCCCAGGGCTCAGGGGACCATATGTGGGTCCTGGGATTGAACTGGGTCTGCTGCACTCAAGATATATGCCTTGCTTCTGTACTATCTCTCTGGCCTGTGAACACATTTATTTATTTGCTTTTTTGTTTTGACCAACCGGGCAGTGCTCAGGGATAACTCCTGGCTCTATGCTCAGGGATCACTCCCGAGAGGCCTTAGGGGATCTTATGAGGTGCCAGGGATTCAAACTGGGGTACTAGGCAAGTGATACTCTGACACATGATAAACAAACATATTTTTATCCAAAATTTTATTGTAAGTTACTCTTATTACCTCCACCAAAAATAAATGATGTCAATTAAAGTCTCATTTCCTTTAGATGACAGTAAAAATACCAGCCGGACCCAGAGTGACAGTACAGTGGGTAGGACATTTGTCTTGAAAGCGGTAGACCTATGCTTCATCCTGGACATCCCATATAGGAGCACCGTCAGGAGTGATTCCTGAGTGTAAAACCAGAAGTAAGCCCTGGGCACTGCTGGGCGTGAGCCAAAAAACAAAAACAAGTTATAAAGAAATAAATACATCAAAAACACCAACCAGAGAGTTGACATCTTTTGACATGGAAAGAAAAGTCTCCAGTTCTCGAAAGGAGTTAACATCTCTCACCCTGCTTACTCCAAGCACGGTCCCAAGACCACCCTTCTCCACCCCGCCAGGAGCATTCTAAGTTTTCAGGCCCTCAGAATCACAACCCACACTGGAGGAGGTTTGCCTGGTGACTTATCTACAGCAACTGAAGAATCACTAACTAAGAAGTAGCCACAAGGTCTGAAGAAGTGCTGAACAACGTGATCCAGAAAAAAACAAAGCTGGGACACCATGATTGAAAGAGAATCGGCTGAGAAAGTTTTAGAGCTCTCCGAGGACAAAGTCACGAACGCACACAGGTGGGAAACTTCCTTGCTCCAGTTCCCTGGGAGCCCTTCCTCCATACTTCATGCTCTTGCCTGTTTAAAGACACAGCTGCTCTTAATAATTGTCTTTTCTCCTTGGTGCAAAGAGAGTATTTATCGTCAGCATGCTGACATTTGCAGGAGTTTTGGCTTTCTCCACTGCAAATGTGGATGATTGAAAGGATATTGCTGACACCTGAATAAGAAATCCAATGACTCCCAGCTATGTAAATTTAATTATTTCCTTGAACTTTTTTTCAGGAATTTCTTTCTCTTTCCCTGAGCTTTGGAGAAGGCCTTGCAATTTTCATTTAAAAGAAATACAAGTCAGCAGTGGTTCACCAAACAGGCTGACATGCAATTTCATAGGGGGAGAGGCGCTGTGTCTTTAATCTAATTTGAGCTCTCCATTCCCAGCTAATGTATCTAGGGATCTTGATGTATGCATTTACAAGGAGACATCTGTAACACAGAGGCCAGCTCACTGGATTCTCAGCAACAGGGATAAAAAGAAATTAGGCTGGGTGCTCACAGCTGCCTAACTCCATGATAAATCTCAATATACTCACAGATGTAGAAATATTCCCGGCCTGGCCTGAATTCAAATCCTAGAGAAAAGGGTGTGAAGAGCTGGAATTTTTCCGAGAACTTCAGTGGTCCATTTGGAGAGTGAGGTCGGTTACATTCCCATCTCTTGAATCCTTTGGAAGTGTGGTCGCAAGCACTGTAGCCGTCATAGTTCACCATGTAGAGGACATAGCGCTCAGTCTTATCCTCTGGGACCGAGTCCTCATAATGAGGGCAGAAAACATCCAGGTAGTCATTGATGCACACGTCGATGTGGTAGTCACCCCTCTGAAATCTGTTGGAAGAGGAAGATGAGATTATTCACACATGAAAGGCTTATGCTTGGCAATAGTTGGTGAATGCGGTAGGGCATTTGCCTTGCACGCAGCCAGCCTGGTGGAGCCGGATTCAATTCCTCCGCCCCTCTCGGAGAGCCCGGCAAGCTACCGAGAGTATCTTGCCCGCACAGCAAAGCCTGGCAAGCTACCCAGGATGTAATCAATATGCCAGACACAGTAACAACAAGTCTCAAAATGGAGACATTACTGGGCCCATTCAAGCAAAGAAGACAGTGCAGTGCAGCTACTTTTCTCTCACTCTTAAAAGCACATCTATTGGTACAAAGTTTCCCTATTTCTAAAATAGTGTGTATTTAAGAAATATTTCTAAATTCTAAATAAATGTAGATGATTATGTGAACTCTTTTTTTACAATCTAAACCATTCCAAATTTTCTATGTAAACACAGACTATTAAGCATCTTGAACTTGAGAGAAACCTAAACTTTTAAGATTTGAAAATAAGATTCCTAGAACAATGTTTCCTCTTAAGAAAATAAAAACTCAAAGGATAACGGTAAAGCAATGAATGAGAGGCCAGAAATGATAATTTTCAACACTAGCCTTAGGGTCGTTGCTCATGTGCTTCTGTCATAAACTCATTTTGACTGATTTCCTCCTTTAAAAGAGTTTTCTCGATGCTTTATTTCTTTTTTACATTAAGAAAATGTAAGCACTCTAGGGGAAAAAGTCTTCCCCCACTGAAACAAAATTTTTATTGTAATGTTCAGATGAGTACTGAAAACAGCAAGACAGAAGAAAATAGCAAACACCACAGCCCTGTGCTCCTGCTGTAGAACACAAGCATGCCCCACCAATGACATACACACAAGCACACATACACACAGAAGCACACTCACACACTGCAGACACTAATAGTGTCTGCACTAATCCTCGGCTCACAAAAAAAGTTTTGCTTGTTTGTGTTAACTAATATGACTTTCCTATTAATGAAGCCCTACTTCCCAGAACTCAGTGAGGTATGAAGCAAAAGTTGCTTTGTATGCAACTTTGGAAAATCAGCGTGGAAAGCATGCCTACAACACCCATTTTTACCTAGTGAGGAAATTCTCAGAGACCTTAGTTCAACATAAAACTATGTTACTGCTGAAATATAGCGTCCATAAAGCCATATAATCTTCAAGTCAGACAGTCTCAGTGTGAACTCTTTCCAGTGATGGTGGACGAAGTTATTCCATTTTTAAAAATCTCTAAATGTTAGAAAGTTTCTTCTGATATTGAGCATAAATCTGCCTCTGTGCAATTTCCATCCAGTGATCCTACTTCTGCTGCCTGAAATTACCAAGGACAAATCTAATTCTTCTTCTGCAGGTAGTTCATAAAACATTTGGAGATGTCAGCTACGTCTTCCTTTCTCCAGACTTGAAAATCCTGATTCTCCTGGGTATTTCTCATTGAGTTCCCAGGCTTCTCCTCATTATATTTTCTTAACCCTTTTTCATGTCTCCTGTTTTCCCAGCCTTTTCTCTGAAGCGCAGCATTTAAGAGGCTGCAATGATAGTACAGCAGGTAGGGTGCTTATCTTGCATGCAGTTGACCCAGCTTTGGTCTCTAGCACCCCATAACCATTCCCTGAACACAGTCAGAAGCGGTCCCTGAGCACCATGCCCACAGTAAGCCCTGAACACCACTGAGTGTGGCTAACCCCCACCCCCCCAAAAAAAAATAAATTCTAAGTACAGTTTGGAACTGGAGAGAGAGTACAGTGGGTGGCATTTGCTTTGCATGTGATTAACTGGGGTTGATTCCTGGCACCATATATGCTTCCCTAAGTCCGGTCAGGAGTGATGCCTGAGCCCAGAGTCAGGAGGAAGCCCTGTGGCTCAGGCTAATACAAATAGTAGAACTCCTGGTGCTAGATATTCACTGGAAACACTGAGTCACTTTTTTGAGATCCAATATATTAAAAGTAAAAGTCCCACTCATTTGGAGTAAGTTGCTGTGACTGAGTTCAGAATCTTCTGCCAGGTGAGCTATAAACCACTGCAAGCTTCAGTTTCCTAAGATGTAAGGTGGAATGGTGATGAAAACATGCTTTGCTGATCTCACATGGTTGCTTCAAGCCTCAGCTAGGAAATGTGTGTAGGACGTTATGTGAACACAAAGCACTGCTATGTTATCTGGATATAGCTATGCTTAATACTAAAACGTCTTCACATTAGAAAGGAAAATAATTATTTAAATAACATCAATAAGAACATAGCAATAAAAACAATTTGATAATCCCTAAAGACAGAAATTGCCTAAAAAATCTTAAAATTTCTGCTCAGATACCATATCCAATGATCCACAGAAACTAACTCCACTTGAATCACACTTCGAAAATGCAGCATGCTGATTTATTCAAAGAACCTGAGATGCTCAGACGACTTCAGTTAGTCAAAAAAAGTATGTTCCGTTTAAAGAACAACACACACACACACACACAAATACAAACACACACACAGATAGCACAGGGGTTAAGGCACTTGTCTTGCATGTGGTTGAACTACCTGCCAGGAGTAAGTCTTGAGCAACACTGGGTGTGGTCCCCAGACCCAAAAATAAACAAATAAAACTTAAAAATCAAGGAAACAAATACCCCAAACTCTCAGAAGCATTGGTTTCTTCCTATTTACCATGATCATGGAAGTAAGTTTACTTTTTCTTCATTACTGGCAAGCAACGATTTGTCAAGATATAAGAAAAGCCTGTGTTGCTTTTAAAAGATTTCTGAACATCAAGGTAACATCACTGCCAAAGTACAAAGAAAAGACACTGCAATGTTCAGATAAAAGGGTGCTGGGATATGAATCACCAGCATTCAGAGCCGCCTGACAGGTCTGGCTGAGAGCCAGCCCAAAGCTGCGGCAGAAGGCAATGCCCAGATGCACTTTATATTATTATATTATTATTATGGATTTTAAAGACGTGCAAGGGGGGAGTTTTTTTCTTTTCGAAGTGTCACTCATTTTAGCTTCTGCGAGTGCCTGACAGTGCTTACTAGTGAAAATCAAAATTGAAACTGCTACTGTCCAGACGCATTCTGGACTGCGTTTACCTACAAATTGTCATAGTATCTCCCTGCTTCCAATTTCACGTCCCTCTCCCAACTTTCATCCCTAGTAACACCTGCTAAAATGTTAATGAGACAACCCATCAGAGGTGAAGACCCACAGCTCACCGGGCTGACCATTATCCTTTCCTGGGGATGCTTTACTCATTGTGGGTATTGAATGGATATCGGTGGGGTTACTGGTTCTATTTTATTTAATTCTGGGGAGGGGCTCCAACTTGGGGCTCAGGAGGATGGTGGGCCACTCCCAGCGATTCTCAGCCAACTGGCCAGCAGTTCAGGACCCGGCTCCAGGATGTAGTGCTTCTCCAGCACCACTGTGTGCCGGGCCAGCAGCACAAGTCACGGCCAGGTGACACTACGACTGGGTTGCCCCAATCCTATCTCCCATTTGGAGTCTGTTTCCAACCTGTGATTGCATCAGGAGTCAGTATACTCCCCCTTTTTTCCAAAGAAAAGATGATTCACCATGGAATGAACATAGATTTCTGTTGCAGACCTTTAATTTGCATAAATTAGTGTACTAATCTAAATTACAGAAGAATGGATGATATAAACATAAAAGCAATGAGAGGTTGGAAACTCATAAAGTCTGTATAATATGCCCAAGTACAATCCAAAGACAGGTTGAGGAGTAGATGTTCTAAAACTGAACCACCAGGGCTTTTTCTCTTACTTCCATCTCTTACAGAAACAGTTGTTTTTTTCTGTCTCACTCTGCTGTTGTTTTGTTAGTTTGGTTTCCTTTGGTAACCCTAGCAGTGCTCGGGGCTTGCTTCTGGCTCTGTGCTCAGGTGTCTCTCCTGGTGTTTCTCAGATGCCCATATGTGGTGTTGGGAATCAAAGCTGACCTGGCAGAGTGCAAGGCATGCGCCTTGGCCCCTGGACTATCTCTCTGGCTCCTTGGGGCTGGAGAGAGAGTGCAGTAGGTAGGGTACTTGGCTTGCACACAGCGGGCCCAGGTTCAATTCCTGTGCCCCACTAAAAATGATCTATAAGCACTGAGCTAGAAATAAGCACTGAGCACTGCCTTGTGAGGCCCCAAACCAAAGAGAGGAGGACCATTGCTCTCTGGCTCTGGACTTACTTTGAAGAAGGACATGTATACGTCTATTGCTATCCAACACATTATATCAAGAATTACACCCATTATCTCAACTTGATCTCTATCAAAAATGGCACAGAAAAGACACTCCAAGTATATCCACTTAAAGAGAAAAAAGAATTAAAAAGTCATTGGACTACTATTCAGCTTTAAAAAAGATGACATTCTACCATTAGCAACAGTAGGGATAGCCCTATGAAGTATAGTGCTTAATGAAACAGACAGACAGAGAAGGAAAAGGAGCATGTGAGATTACTCAAATGTGTACATAAAGAGACCAATACAAAATAAATAAAACCAATATTTTTTAATTTAAAAAATTTAAGAACAAATCAGTAGGAAGGGAAGCAGAAAATAAAGGATGAGAAAACTTGATAAAAGGGACCGAGTGTACTGTGAATTCAACTTTTAGTGGTGAACGTAAAGTATTATACACAAAGGTTGTTTTTAAAAGCTCTCTACTTGTTGGGCCAGAGCCGTACAGAGGTTAGTGCACCAGTCTTCTACAGAGCCGTAAACCTTCTTTAATCTCCAGCTCCACATAAGTCCCCCTGAGCACCACCAGCTGTGGCACCTGAGGACAGAGCCAGAAGTGGACCCTGAACACACGTGGTGTGCCCACCAAGAAAAGCTATGCAGGTGGAACCTACTTAATCTTATAAACCTGTATGACTGAAAGAAGAAACAAAAGCCAAGCAACATGCTCCAGCGTACAGAGTCTGGAAAAAGTGAAGGTAGTACTCAAACATAAAGAGTCCCACCTAGGGCAGAAGATTT